AGTTAGTTCAATGAGAAAACTATTTCACTATGCTGGTAATGTATGCTGGTAATAGAAACTTTTTCAGGTGTATAACAACATGGGCTGGTGGACTTCACTATAAATATAAAAAAGTAAACACATATTTATATGCCAAAAAGATATTTATTGTATTTGAATTTTAAGATAAACACCATTTGTTTTATATTTTCATTTGATATGTTTGTACATATGCCTGAGTGTACATATACACACGACTTACATACAGAAGCCCTCAAAGTATAAGATTAGGATCCCCTGGGTTTTGAATTACAATGTGGTTCCTGGGAAATAAATTGTGGGTCTTCTACATGAATAGCAAGTATTGTACACTGTTGAGACATCTCTCCAGTCCCTAATGACAAAATGTTATCAATTCACAGGCAATGCTGTTTCAAGGAGCAGTTCCTACACAACCATTAGAAACGCAGTGCAGTGTGCCCGGCCTTGGCATTGGCTCACATGGTTCTATTGACCATGTCAGCTCGTCAGACCCTGTGATAAGTGCTGTGGTTTCTGATAATGGATGAGAAGAGATGAAGAGGCAGAATCTCCTCCAGCATAGTGATGTCACTTCTTCCCAGGTTCTTACAAAACCTCTAGCATCTGTAAAAGAGAACATTTGCTACTGTTGGCTCAACCATCACCAAAAGTAATTAATCAAAAAAAAAATCCAGAAAGTAATGACATGTTGTAACACACTCTACTTTTGTTCTTCAAATTCAATAGTATGTGGTTAAAAGATATATTCATATACATCTTTGTTAAGTGCCCATTGCCTACTATCAAGTATAAACAAAAAATGAAGAGAAATAGACACTTCAGCAAAGGGTGATGTCACAGACCTCTAAGACAACAGACAGATATGGAAGACAGTGAGTTCTAGGCAACCTGGGATTCATAGTAACTTCCAGTCCAACCTTGGATATACTAACACCTGGCTCAAAAAGCAAACAATAAGGAAATCTTAGGAGGTGTCAAGTCTCCTTAAAAAACTACAAGCAACAAAGGAATGCTGGCAATGGGAGAACTGTTCTCCCACAGGGAGAACACACCTATTGTTTATCAATTACCAAAGGATCAACACTGAATGCATACAGAAAAGTAACATATGTAGACAGAGAAGAGATACTGTGAATTTGAAAGAGAGCAAGGATGCATTTGTTGGAGGTTTTGAAGAGAGAAAGGGAATAGAGAAATGTTGCACTTATAGAATAATCTCAAACAATTAAAGAAGCACTAAAGTAATCCACAAGTAATTCGACAAAAAACAACCATAAATCCACATATCTGTTTTTCCTCCCACCTGTATTTGAAAAGCACACATTTTCTGCAAATGTTTTATATAAAAATGACTTCTTTTTTACCCAGGGTGAATCACTATGAGACAGATAACACTCTACTGGATTATGAGCACATATTATACGTCTCTGAATTAATGCATTTCACACAATTTAAAGAGACCTAAGGGAGGATAAATGGAGGCAGGATCTCTTATAAGATCCTTAATAAAGTAAGTCTAGTTGCCCCTGGATCATCAGAGATACAGACCAATCAAGATCCATATTACTTTGGGATTAGATTCTGCCTAACAGCAAAGCCCTGGGTTTGATACCCAACTCTCTTAATTAACCCCATAATTAAGATATTGTGGTACATACAAGAACTGAATAACGAGATACAAGAATCCATGGCCATCATCTACACAGCAAGCTTTGGATCAGTTTTGACAATAGGCAGTACTGCTTGAAACATAAGCCAAATGAAACAAAACAATTCAAAAAGCATATTTGAAAGGATATCAATTTAAAAAGTCACCTGAAAAATGAGGGAAATTTATTGCTTTCTTAAACTTGGGGCATTATGATTTTTTTTTAGAAAATTAAGCAAAGAAGCCCTGGGTATGGAAGAATTATGATATTATGAATAGGACTCAAGTTTTTGGAAAGGAAATCTTCTAAGAGTGCAGTATGTACACAGTCATTGTTGTTGGTCTCCTCTGTGTGAGCTTAGGAATGACAGTCCAGAAGTCCTTCCTTTTGGATATCATTGCACAAAGGCTCTGTATAAATTCACAGGCATAATTATATATGCATATGTGCATGTGTGTGGAGGTTTATGTATATATGTATGCATTTACATATAAAATATATAAACAT